GGCAGGCTGCTGGTAACCCCACATGGCCATCTCATTTAAATCTCCTGACGGCCTCAAGGGTTGGCGCTTCTATGAAACCATTTTAGAGAGGGAGCAAGTGCACCATCCAGGATGAGGAGCTCTGCTGTCTGGACAGGAAGCCTCGGAGTCAGGAGACATCGGTCCAGCCCTGCATCAGTGACAGATTTGCTTACGGACACAAGTGGGGTCAGTGGCCCCTTCCATCCACTCTGTCCACTGTGGTCCACTGCTGATGCCCACTGGGCTGGTTGGCAAGGACTCAAGGCCAGGCCACTCTGCAGGCTGTTGGGTTCAGCCCAGAGGCCACCCAGCTGTGCACAGCTCTGTGAGTCCTTGATGACCACCAGCACCAAGCAGATGTGCTGAGCTCTGTTCTGTCCCCAGAGCTTGTCACTGGAGCTGAGAGGGGGATGGTGATGGCTAGGCTGGCCAGTGAGTGGCAGCTAATGCCCTCAGGGCAGCCAGAGTCCCTCTCCCCACCTGTGAGTCATCTGTTCAACACATCTGCAGTTGTATGTTGACCCCTAGTGCATGGCACCTAAGAGCCACAGCAGTGAACAAAACAGGCAGAACCCCTCTCCAGGGAGGAGAGACAGACACCACACCCAGCAAGTCACACTCCATGTGTCCCATGGTATTGGGTGCTATGAGGAAGTAAAGCAAGGATGTCCTCACAGAGGAGGGGACCTTTGAACAAAGCCTTGGAGGAGGTGAGGGATGAGCCATGTGGATGTCTGAAGAAAGAGCCTTCCAAGCAAAGGCCCTGGGGCACCGCATACTTGGAGTGTTGAAAAAACAGGGACAGCCAGGTGGGCCAGCATGGAGGAGCCTGATGACAGGGAAGAAGGTGAGGACAGAGAGGTAACCATCAGGGGGGACCTTGTGGACCACTGGGAAGGGCTTTGGCTTTTATCTGAATAAGGTGGGAGCCACGGAGGGTGTAGAACAAAGGAGAGATGGGACCTGACTTGCTCTTAACAGGATCCCTCTAGCTACTGGGAAGGACAGTGTGGTGGAGGCACAGAGAATGTGGGTATGTTTCTAAGACCAAGCCCATAGGATTTCCTAACAGGATTTGGGGTGGGAGATGAGAGAGACAGCAGGAATGACTCCAGCGTTCTGGAAGGATGGAGATGCCATTCCTGAGGTGAGAGGCTGCAATTAGGATCTCAGCTGTATTTGTGTTCATTAGGGATGCTGTGGAGCGCCCCGCTGAGCGGGGCTGATGCCGTTTTCCCTGGGTCCCATCCAGTGTGTCCCTCAGCAGGTGAAAGAGGAAAGGTGGGCTTTTTGGCTCCCGAGTCACTCTCTGGGGAAGTGAGATGCTGCTGGGGCTGCAAGCTCTAAAGGAGGTACCAGGAAGGGTCACACACCCGAGGGTGGCACGTGGCCCGGGTCCGGCAGTTCCCCAGCCTGAGATCCATGACCCTCCCCAAGGCTGGCCTTGGGGAGGTGTGGGGACAGAGGCAAGGAGGGCACCCTGAGGGCTGGGTTCTCACCTTGTTGGTGCTTTCAAGGGATGCTCTCCAGCTCTGTCACTCGATGTGAGCAATTTATTTTAGGTAGAAGCAGACAGAGCCCAGAATGAGAAAGGTATTCCTTGCCGTTCTCTTCCCCACCTCCAGGACATCAAGGAGAGCCTCAGGGGGGCCACCCCATCCTTAACACCTCCTCCACGCTGGCGGACCCCCCTTAACCAAGAAGGAGCAGGTCTCAGGCTCAGCCTCTGCAGACAATGGTGTGCAGCTAGAATTTAACAATATGGCTTTAGGTCCAGTATACCTATTTTACAGTGGCTGTGTATTTATGGCAAATCTGGGCAGTGACTGGAAATTTCTGTTAAATACATCTCAGCTGAAAGTGTGGATGGATTCACTGGAAGATACGCAGCACCCATCGTGGGGGTGGCACACCCGAGCATTTAGGACACCCTCCGTTCACACGCACGTTTGTAGGGTTACTGTGAGGTTTGGCAGTGTCAATCCTTCCGTGTGAGGTACATGCTGTGTCTGTCCCTCTCTGCAGTATTTTGAGCTCCTCTTCTGTCTTGTCCCCTGGCCTTTTCCTCTCGGAAGTAGGAATGGGCTGGATCTAGCCTTTGTCCCACCCACCCTGGCCAGGCTCTGAAACATCTAAGACCCTCTTTCTCCAGAGCTGATTC